TTCGTAGGAAACAAAGTTCCTGGTCTCGCGTTTATAAAGCGTTGAAGCGAAAACCAAACGGACGTATTTCTGCCGAACGAAACTATGTGTATTATGACGTGAGCTCTGTTATGCATATATTCTTATGGGTCTCAGGGCTCATATCTTAATGCACACAGTTCCGTTTGGCAGAGATGCGTCCAAATGCTCTTGTTGCTGCTTTGAAACAATAAAAATGAATGCTCGCGGAATAACATAAAGCCTTGTCCAAAGAATTTCTTACAGCTTCAAGAGCGGAGAAATAATTCGAGAGCAAGTCCCTTAAGAGCCAAGGAAAAAACGGAGAAATGAAACCACGTTGTCAGTTTGTCACTCTGGTACGAAACCGAGGATTACTTTTGCTCGATGCTTCATCTTATACCTTCATTCGCTCCTTCTTCTTACATATTTTTTCGGTTTATTTCAATGATTATGAAATTAAGATCACGTGCATAGAAGGAGCTAAGTCATTTCAGGTATTGTCCAAATTAAACAAGCTATTGAGGAAAAATCTGAGGTTGGAATCTTACGTTATCGTTGCAGAAAATCGTCTGAAATTCACAGTCAGATTTATCGGGGAAATTCGTGGTATTCTGATAAAAATACCTACCGTAACATTTAGAAATTGCAGGAGTTGAAAAACCTCCGATTTTAATGCAATATGCCTGTATCTCGTCCTGCTCTCTTAAGAATAACAGCACACTGGGAAAAAAAAAACACATTGGATCTAGAGTCCAGACTCTTGAAAACATTGACAAGAAAATGGACTCTTGATTCAATCAGATTTAATCTTAAATACAAAACAAATCCGCTCAAATTAAGAGGCTTGGTTCTTGATTTAAGCTTAAATCTGATTGGATCAAGAGTATCTTTTCTTGTCGATGTTTTTAAAAGTCTGGACTCTAGATCCAATGTGTTTTTTTTCCAATGCAAAATAAAATAAAATTGTGTGTGTTGTAACGCTAAGCACAAATCATACTCTATATAATATTATTATAATTATAATTATAATAGTATGGATATAAAATCATAGGGGTTACGCCTAACGCCTGACGCGCGGAGTGATCCATAGGGTTTGACTGCGAGGCGGCGAGAGGGCCTAGCCCCTAGTCACACAATAATTTAGTTTTACGACTTCTTTTTGGTTCATATATCACTATTCGACGTGTGTTTTAGTTCCATAACCATAACAGGATGTCTTTAGGGCTAAAAAACCCGGAAAACCGGGGAATTCCATAGGGAATATTCATCTTTTAAGATGAGAGGGAAAACAGGAAAAAGACCAGAAGCTTTTCGCTTTGCTCAATTTTACTTGATTCCTATATCCGTGACGCCATTCGGACGCCATTATTATAAAAAGAGGCTACGCTCCCATGAGTAAATCCAAATGAATCAGTTGTTCTCAAAAGGGAACAGGTTCATCCCTCAACGACTCTTAGTAGTGGCGTGGTGTGCTTTGCGATGTATCGAATAATCTGCCATTTAAACCTATGGAAAAGGATCCATAAACAGGGTGTTCGCAGCGAACACCTTAATAATCGATTCTTTACCATAGGTTTAAATTACATATCAATCGATATATCGCAATTCATGCCACGCCACTCGGCCACTAGTCAGTATGTCCTTTTATGCAAGCCAAGACTCGTGCAAAAATGGACCTGTTCCCTTTTGAAAACAATCGATTCAAATAGAGCGGCTTCATCCAGGGACTATCACTTGTTGATAGCCGAAAAAATCACGACTATAATATCGGCCAAGCGGAACGAACTGCGACAAAAAATGAAAATTCAGAGAGCTTATCGTAATGGTTATACCTCTCATTTTTAAAAATAAACATTTGGAGTAAAACATTTATGATATATCATGTATACCACCGCGCAAAATTGAGTAATTTTAAGCTTTTTGAGTTTTGAGCAATTATAATCGAGCCAAGGTTATTGGGCAACAAAATGTCTTACTTTCAACAGTATGCGTGCTTAAAAACTCTCCATCACAGTGGTAGGAAGATGAATTCTACCCTCTTTCATGCTGGCTATCATCTCTCGCCAGTTCAGCACAATCCAGCAACAGGGTGAGACCGAAGCAACAGAATCGCCAAGGAGGCACTAAGAGGATATCGTAATTCTGCACGCTGCACAGCGCATAACTCTACTCATTAAAAGGGAAAAACAAGGAAAGAAAACAAGAAAACGAGCTTTGTGAAAAGCTCTCTTAAGATGCAGACGCCGCACAACCGACAAGATCTTACTTCATGAACGGCTAGAAAATATCAACGACAAAAAAAATGATGGTTTTTAGATAAGATTTGGACGCATTTAAGCTAAAAGGAACTATTTGAGGTATATGGAAAAAAGGAACTGCCCTGAAAAATGTATATTTTTCGACCTGAATAACGCTTGAATATTTATATAACTTGTTGGTACAAGGTATACTGAACCGAAAAAAGAAAAACGCGAAATCGGATGGTCACCTCTCTAAATGGCCAAAAATTGGTATTTCCAATGAAATACTTCGATTCTTCCCTCTTCCCGTCGCTGTTTCGAGCACTTTCGATTGCAACTTCGAAATTTCCTTTTGCGTGCAGATGCTTCTATCCATAAGTGCTACTAAATCGTAAAAAAGTGAAAATCGAAAAAAAACCCGAGTTGGTGTGTTTTCGAACTCTTTGATTCAATAGTGAATATTTTAAGCGCAGGAGCGATTGCGATCGAAAGCGAGCCCCTTGAGCGGCAAGAGCCTGGCCACCGCGGCGTGGCGCGGCGACCCTCGGCTCCTGGGGGAAATAAGACGTTTTCCAAGACAAATGAAACCGCTTCCCCGTCGCGACGCGAGTTGTTTAATTAGCGTTCTTAATTCGCCGGAAAAGCGGAATCGCTCGCGCTTTAAACTTTTCACCGGGTAACTTATGAAAATGAAATCGCTACGACCCGACGCGGCGCCTCCGGAAACGACGCAGCGTGTGGTGCAATCAACGCCGACGTGAAACTCGCCATCGGCCCATCGGGGTGCCGGGTGTGGTATATTGCGGATAGAATTACTAACGCGGAATAAAAGCGATTCGCTCTAGGAAAAAAAAGTTTGGTCGTATGAAGTGCATTCAGGTCGATGAGTTCTTGGGGAAAGTTATTCAAAGTCAACATTTTGCTGCGGAACATTGAAATGTGCTTCTCCACCCAGAGTAAATCGGAGATGAAACATTTCATGAGACTATATAAAAGGAATTCTCACAATGAAATTTCGTAAAGTTCAAGCAAATTTAACATTTCATGAAATTATATTTAAGGAATTTTCACAATTAAATTTAGTAAAGTTTAATGACATTTTGTAAAATTTTATAGAATGTTGTGAAAGATGAAATTTTGCAAAATTCATTGACATTTTGTGAAATTTTAAGAAATTTGATAAAATTCTAAGATATTGAGTGCAATTTCTTGAAAACTTTTGCAATAGACTCAGTTTGACACGAACCGCATAGAAATAGTGAAATCTTAATTTTGAAATAAATATCCTGAGTCAAATTTTGAAATTCCCAATTGAATCCTCGGAAAATTGTTACGGGTTAAAATTCGTTGAAACTTCATGGAACATAAAATTGCCATCCTAAATGCCACCAGAGTCCTGGCTATCCTCACCCTTCAGTATCTCGTTGTGTCAAAAATCAAGTGATAGAATTTCCCGCACTCCTAGTAAAATTTACCATACTTTTTTTCCGGTGTATGTGCTGGTTCTAACGGCTGATGAAAAACATTAATTATTATCCTTTCTTAACGAGCGAGAATTTTGCATTTAACATTTACAACGTCTGTAAACATTAATTTTTTATGGCTTCGTCATTGAAGTTTCCGATTTGTTCAACGTGTTATGCCCTCTTCCCTCTTCGTGAACTTTTCATGAGGACATAAAATACGCATTTTTGACGTCTTATTCTTACCCTGTCTTGGGGTTCATTTTTTTAAAAAAAAATAATACGAATTGCAAATATACCCACTTTACCCGAGAATTCTAATGGCGATCAGCGAAAATCTTCGCGAACGACAGGGGAAAAGTGACACGCTTTACCCGGTGATCGCTTGTCGCTCTCGCGGAAACTTACGGTGATTTATGGAAGTGACATTAGGGTAATTAACTCGTCCACCGATAAGAATCCAGATCATTTTTCAGGGCGCATTATTGAAATTATTCTCACCCGACGCAAAAAAGCTTTCAGACTCTCTTCTCTTCGACATCTCAGCGAGAAGGAGGGGAGATGGGGTTTTTTTCAACCCATTAGAAATCGTTCAGACGCGAGTAAACAACCATGATTGAGACTTTGAGACTTTTTCTCAACTCAAAAAAGGAGGATTATCGAAGATTCTTTCGAGCTTTAAAATAGTTAAATGCAATTCTGAAGTTTTGAAAAAAAAGTGATTTATTCGCATTAAGTCATTTGAGAAAGCGCCTAACTACTGAAACAATAAAATGCGTCGGTATTTCTCCCGAATCTCTAAGTCTAAGTAAACAGATTGGCGGACTAAAACGAGCCCAGTTGCTCGAATGGGCCTGTTGCAAACTTCAGCTAGAGTAGAAAGAAGAGTTGTTTCTTACAGATAATGGCTCAAAAATCTCGATGAGCTCATCGGCAAAGTGTGAAATACACTCCTTACCTTTACACAAACTGACTGCTGAGTGCTGACTGAATACGTAACCCTTGGAAGATTAATGCGAAAAAATTCGAGTGATTGTCATTTCTACTAAAAATATGACTAAATAATGTGTTATCTGTTATGGCGACAAAACTGTTCCAGTTATCGTGAAATCACCCGTATCTTAAGTATCACAACTGTACCGCAAATTCGTGTCACCCCATTTCTGATCACATAAATCGAAGTTCCGGTTCATATTTCCGCATTTCAATTTTGTTAGTTTATGTGGCCACGCATTTATGGTTGAATTGATGTATAGTTTGGTATTATGAACTTAGGAAATGAATTTCCAGAACTTACCTTGATTGTTTCCCTCAAGATGGCGACCTCTCTCGTTAGATGTTCGTTTTCCGCGTAAAGGACCTCCAGCTGACCTTGGATTTCGAGCGTTGGACCCCGCATCCGGTGTCGCAACTCTTCTTCCAGTTGTCTCACTAGCATTGCTTGTTTCTGAAACACACACCAAAAAAAACGAGAAATTACTATATACTCTCGAATTATTCTAGCATTTTAGATCGATATCACTCGACTTTTTAAGTGCATGTTGGTCACTTACAACGAAGCATCTCAAGAATCGGTCAGTTGCGCAGGTTCCAGAATCGCGTTATGATGTTTTTGGCTCATAGGATTTGCAACCATTTGAAACCATGGTATCGATTATTTAGGTGCTCATGGCGAACACCCTGTTTATCGATCCTTTTCCACACCTTTAAATGGCAGATCAATCGATATATCGCGAAGCAGCCACGCCATCGATCTTTTCCTGTGCGTCTCTCATTTCTTCCTCAGTCCTGTGGACACCCAGAATTCAAGGCGGATTTTATAAAAATCTAAGAGACAGGGATGTTGCTTAATCATTCCGACTTTCCGGGTGCAACAGTTCCTTCTCCTTGGCAAAATCGTCAAAGGCGAATGAAATTACTACTTCTTAATTAGATTGCGAGCGGTTCAAAGGTCCGCGAAAATTTATCGAGGTGTTGCTGACAAAATTAGAACGACGCCAAATTCACGAATGAACAAGTGGGGGGGAATCATCACCCGACCCGGGAGGAGGCCCGTATTAACCGGGGAACTAACCGTATTATGTTTACATGAGGGCTGGGCAGGTTCATTCGATTTTAATGGAGTCCAACTCCAAACGATTCGGCTCAACGAGGCCTAATTAGATTATAGGTCTCGGCTAATGATACGTCCCGCCGCCATGGCAACCGGGGTTGACATGAACCGGTGATTCTGCCCTTAGCATTTTAAAATGAGCGAATTTTATCGACCGATCTGGCTGTGTGTCGCTGAACAAAGTGACGTTGTCAGGTATTCATGATGAAACGTCCAATTCCCCTTTTATAACGATGGAAAAAGGATTACTCTGGTCTAAAAAAAAACGAAAAAATGCACGAAACGCAGGGTGTTTGATGAGCGACTCCTATTTAATGGAGAATTTGCAAGTGTCTGAAATTTGACGAATTCCGTGTTTGATGGACGCTACCAAGTGAACTGAACACGTGGATACTCTTGGTTCATAAATTGAACAATTATTGGAGGAGATATGAAAAAATTATCTTATCTGCCAAAATAAATGCGCTTAAATGGGAAACGCCGGCAGATGACGTCACAAGGCAGCGCATTTCTTCCTTTTTAAATATATTTATATACTATTTCCCATAGCCGAAGAAAATTATAAAAAATACTGCAAAAGCAGCCTTTTAAGCACTTCTAGATGAAGCAATAAAAAATTTGCGTGCAAATTCTCCATTGTTAGTGCTAAATCCAGAAGTGATCTCAATGCTTCTTTCTCGCGTAACTTTTTCCAGGAAATCGAATAACCTTCAGGAGGGATTGTTTTTGAGGAAAATCTTTGTTTAAAGAGAAACAAATAAGGTCATACTTGGACTGAACACGAAAAAAATCCAATAATTAAATGACAATACTATCAAGAACCTCGGGGGTTTTTTTTCGTTTTGCAGGTCTATGTCATTTAAACGGCGTATCTCGGTGGTCTTAGAGCTAGTTTGATGGGTGGGTATATGGACAACGAACGCTAGTGATATCTACTGTCGCATGTCGCACTTCTTTAGGTCAATCATTACGATACCACTATTCGAGCATGTGGGAGCGCGTTTTGCCTACTCTCTCAATTGAAGGAAAATGTGAAAGCGCTTGTCGCACTACGCATGCACCCATCCGCTTCTATTGCTTTTCACTCGTTGCTCTTACTGCTTTGTGATTTTAACTCTGTCTGTTAGTTTATTGAATGGGAAATGTTCCATTCTTTATCTTCTTACTTAAGCAAAACTATTACGCGCACTAGCGCACGGTAGTCTGAAATCGAGATAGGTGGTTTGGGAGTTTCATCATCGGCACATAAGCGTAACCCATTCTCGCAGTGCTGACAAGAAAAGCCATGGAAATCGCCGCAGGAACGCCGCCGCAATCTCAATCATGACTATGGCGCCACCGCTTCTCGGCATCTATATACTGCCGTGCTAAGGAAAAACGCCGTATGAGCGTTCCAATGTGGCCAAATTTCCTCTCAGAAAATGTCCTTTTCAGGAGAATATTAGGAATATGTTTTTTTTTTTAAATTTTCAGAAGTTTTAGATCAAATTACACACAAAATTATCTGAGAAATTGGTAGACAAATATTCAAAAAAATTCCTGATAATTAAAGATTTGCCGGAAGAAATTTGGCAACGCCTGAAGGCTCATACGGCGTTTTTCCTTAGCGCGGCAGTGTAATGCTTTAGAACGGTGAAAAGCGGGACGGGAGAGCACTTTGATCGGTGAAAAATCGGACGGGTTAACCGTTATCGCATTCCGAGTGGTTTCCCAGCATTTTTTCCGGCCGAGAAGAAATGAAAAAGGCGCAACGGAGGAGGGGCGGGGGAATAATTGGGCCGTCAGATTTCCAAAGAGGGGCGCTATATCAAAGACTCCAGAGTGCGGTTGCCGCATCTACAGTCTTCCTTCATTTTATCTCTCAAAGAACGGAAGGAATTCTTGCTTTTTGGCACCGTCGAATCAGAAAGTTGCGAGAGTGACGAAAGCGCGCCAGCGGCGGTCGTCGAACTAATTCAATCAGTGTCTGGACAAGCCCATAGAGACTAAAAAGAAGGTGATGGCAGTTTCCAATTTGTTTTCGCCGATATGGTTGGGTAGAAGTCAATATTCTTGCAAAATCCTCGATTAAAATTATAGGGGACCAAACGTGACATAATATATTTTGGAGCTATTCAACACAGGTTATGATTTAAGCTCTTTTTGTAGTATGATTTTCCTCTAAGAAACTCAATTTTTTGAGACAGTCTATTTTCAACCTTTTGCATCATCGACCACCTTTCAAGATTTTCGGAATACGAACACAATAACCTTTTTCTTTTCTATGGACGAGCCAAAAACGTTTGACAAACGAACAGTAGAGTCAATATCAAATCAGTTTCACTGGGAAAAAACACATTGAATCTGGAGTCCAGACTTTTAAAAACATCGACAAGAAAAAATACTCTTGATTCAATCAGATTTAAGCTTAAATCAAGAACCAAGCCTCTTTATTTGAGCGGATTTCCTTTTGATTTAAGCTTAAATCTGATTGAATCAAGAGTCCTTTTTCTTGTCAATGTTTTCAAGAGTCTCGACTCTAGATCCAATGTGTTTTTTTTCCCCCAGTGTTATGGGCTTTAGAAGTTCGATAGGAGATCTGCTGTCCTCAGTGTAGCATTAAAGTGAATGCAAGAATCAAGATTCTGATCCTCCATCCTGCTCAAAGGCCAAGATCACATGCTGAAAATGGGGATCACAGTCCGTTGCTCCACAGTCGTTATTTAGTATTTGTAGGGTTGGACCCATTGAAACTGAATTGTTCAAACATTCGGAAATCGGTCAAAATATCCCCGCGTTCGAGCCACTGCGCGTAAGGTTGATTGGCAAGCCTCCAGACCAAAGACTGACCTCAACCTCACGTCTCTCCTTCTCTCTCCCCCACCTCACCTCTCTCTTTTCGTCACCTCCCCCCCCCCCCCCCCCNGGTTTTCCTCAATGCTCACTTGATGGCCCCATAATGCATACATTAGCGCAAAGAATCAATAAAACACTTGTTAGTTGTAGGACAGTGACCGGCACTAGACGGGGATTCTTTCCTTGTTGCCGCGTTTGTTTGTTAAATTAGCGTTACTTTTTTTATTGATTTTAGCTCCTATGAGAACGATTTGATAATGTAAACATCAGTCGACGATTTCTACAATTTCAGTTTTTTCTCTTTTCGTAAAAGCTCTTGAGGTAAAATCATCAGGCAGGAATAGTGTTGATTTCCGACTTTGACCATCACGTTCGAGAAACCTCCTGCTGCTCCTGAAAAAAGGAATAATGTACAAAATTGAAAGTTCAAGACAACGCACTCTTCATTGCTCGAGTGAAAAGTCATATCAAACAAATCCACCCTTTCTCAAAAAAGTAGGAACAATTGTTGTCCACACGATCATGACACCTGTTCACAAACGACGAGGTCTGTTGGAGAGTATCAAAAGCGCAGCAGTTGACGCCGTTTAAGTCAAGTTAGCGGTAAATCCACATTTTTCCGTAAGAAAGCTGCACATACTGCAGTCTTGTGCAAAATGGTTTCCCTCTCTATCGACATTCAACCTTAGAATACGCAAGCGAGCGTAATATCGGGAGACTGCTGAGTGCTGCGCAGAGCTCTGAAAACAACAGTGCGCCTTCAATTTTGTCTTTATACGACACGCACATCCGATGACCACGAATAGTCGCATCCAAGCGCCGTTAACCAGAAAACAGCGACTCAGACTTACAGAGTTAAATCTACGACTAAATTAACAGATCCAACGATGAATCGAGTGAGGTGGACTTGAAGGAAGTACCTACGGCTGAAACGTTATAGTTTTATTTCTTCAATAAAATAAAACATTAAAACAGATTTTACAAACATTTCTAATTGTAAAATTTTAAAAATTGAAAAAAGATGTTGACTTTTTTCTTAGATCGTATTTGATCGTTCCAGTTGGTTTATGTGTAGTGAATTTTCGCCTTCGTCTCCACTTTTTAGCGTTTTGGGGCAGTCAGTGAAATTTTTTCGAGTAAACGCACAATTTGCAGAAAGAAATTATACGACGTAGAAATGAATTGCATTTTGCGATATGAGGCTACTATAATTCTGGATCATCCACAAAAGACCTTTATGTATAGAAAAGCTAATGGCGCGTATGTTCTTTCTGGAATGAGCCAAAACTAGTAGTTACTTATTGCAAAACCAGGTGGTTAAATAGTGCTGGGTTCACACTATTTTGCGGGGACAACCAAGGTCAAAAAGTTCAAACATTTCAAGTCGAGTCAAAAAGTTTGAGCTCTTATGCGAATCAGTACAAGACTGTGGAGGAATGTGTCCAACTCCACTCCCAACTTCCTGAAATGAACAAGTGAACACCCCCCCTCAGTCCTGT